GGGAGGTTCGCATGACTCTGCTCGCAGCCGGGTGCGACCCGGCCGTGGGCTGGAGGGATCCTCCGGGGCAAAGCTTTGCAAGGACACGTTTAAATCCGAGCACCTCAAATAGAGTCTAAAAGCGGCGATCTTGGCAGCTCTCCGTCATGACACGTGTGCTGGGACCGTTTGGGTTTTCGGGTGATGTTGCCGCTCACCCTTACCACCCCAGACTCTGTGTTTGTGGCGGGGTGTGGGATTCTGGCACTCTGCTGGACTTACAAGCCCTATGGCTCAGAGCAAAGCCCCAGAGAGTGTCTGCTCCCTGTGCTGGTGAAGGTACCTGGCTACTGGACAAGAGAAACATGCTCTAGAAGACAGCACAAACCTTTGTAAGGCATTTCTGTGCCCCAGTAGCCAAGAAGGTGCTTCCTGGGTGCTGTGGAGAGTCAGCATGGGCCCTCCAAGGTGGTGACAAGAGGATTTTGTCTTTTCTTGCCAAAGGATATGAGGTTGGGAGGGAGAAAAGGAGCATGAGAGCAACTATCAGGCACTCAGTTGAGTTCATAGCGCCATTTCCCATCCCAGCAAGGTATGAACTGCCAAGGATGCAATTTTAAAACAAATGTGATCCTGAAGTGCAAGAAGGAACAGCGTGGGGAAGGAGGAGCAGGCGGCTGGGTGAGGCTGCAGCTCCTGAGCGAACGGGCGAGGGTGCTGGGTGGATGTGCAAGCTCGGAGCAGGGAGGGTGGCCGCAGACGGGGCCGGGCTGCAGGCAGAAGCCCAACACGGGTGAGCTGCAGCTGAGGCTGCTGTGACCAGTCTGGGCAGACGTCTCTGGGGATGCTGGTGCAGCAAGAGGCAGGAGCTGGGAAAATCAGTCACTTCTTGCAAGGGAGAAGTGATCCATTGGCTTTGCTTGTTGCTTACAAGTCATTTGATCCTGGGGCTATTTAAGGAAACAGGACAGTGTCTGTTTGAACAGACAAATCAAGCTGGAAATATCGACCTCTGCATGGCTGATTTCTGCTCCAAACCAGAATCTGATTTGCAAAGCCTTCAAAACTGCTCCAGCTTGGCAAGAGGCAGCTCCTCTCTCTGTGACCGAGCCCAGCCGAGGGTTTGTGGGCTTTGCCATGCGATGGGAGCAAAGGGCCGGCGCAGCCTTGGTGCCAGGCAGGGATGTGCCATGTGCCATCTGGGCACTGGAGCCAGAGAAAGGGATGCTGTCTGAGCAGGGAGCAGCTCCTCTGCAGCCACCGCACCAACATGTGAGTGAGGAATGGGTCTCCCTTCAACACATTAATGCTGCTGTTGATGCCATCCCTGAGTCCTGCCCAGAACAGGCAGTTGCGATAGGGCAGAGGATCCCCAGCGGGACAGGCACATCTGGAAAGGAGGGGCTGGACTGGCCAAACTGATGGAGGAAAATTGCTTGGTGCCAGCTTCTTGGAGCTGTGGGAAATCAGACGAATGTTGGGCTTTGGGATGGCACCTCTTGATTTTTCAAGGCTCCCTGAGCTGTGCCCAGGTAGGGCAGCACTAAGGGCAGGAAGGTCCTTCTGGCTCAGGCACACAGCTCTGCAGAGCTGTCACCACCTCCAGGAACGTCTCCTGGCAGGACGGTGTCAAGGCTGGAGGATGCACCCTGTGTGGGTCTGTGTTGGCACCTCTGCTGGCACCTCTCAGAGCAGCTGGTTTTAGAGCTGAGCTGATGGCACAAGCGTATGGTGCGTGTACGTCGTGGTTTAGCTCCAGCTGGTGACTAATCCCCACCAGCTGCTTGCTCACTCCCCCAGGCTGGGATGGGGAGAGAATCCCAAGGGTAAAAGTGAGAAAACTCGCAGATTGAGATAAAGACAGTTTGATAGGTAAAGCAAAAGCCTCACACACAAGCAAAACAAAACAAGGAAAAAAAATTCACCCCTTCCCATGGGCAGGCAGGAGTTCAGCCATCTCCAGGAGAGCAGGGCTCCGTCACGCGTAACGGTGACTTGGGAAGACAAACGCCATCACTCTGAATGTTCTCCCCTTCCTTCTTCCCCAGCTTTATATACTGAGCATGACGTCATACGGTATGGAATACCCCTTTGGTCCGTTGGGGTCAGCTGTCCCACCTGTGTCCCCTCCCAGCTTGTCCCCCCAGCCTACTCGCTGGTGGGGTGAGAAGCAGAAAAGGCCTTGGCCCTGTTATTGCTGCTCAGCGATAACATCCCCGTGTTATCAACCTTGGCCCTGTTATTGCTGCTCAGCGATAACAACATCCCCGTGTTATCAATGCTGTCCTCAGCACAGATCCCAAACAGCCCCGTACCAGCTACCATGAAGAAAATTAACTCTATCCCAGCCAAACCCAGCACAATGTGTCATCCACTGCTGGAGATGCAGGAGGAGAAAGCCACGAGGGGTACAGCTGTGATGGTCCAGCCATGCTCCCAGGAGACGGTGCAGGAGGAGCTCGGGCGATAACTGTGGCTGTCGCTGTGGTGCAGCTCTCCTGCCGTGGTGTCCAGGAGACATGGTGGGGGGAAGTGGGGCTCTGGTGGCTTCTCTCCTGCCACTGTAAGAATTGGCTCAACTTCCCTGACCTGTGAACCTGTCCTGCCAGCCACAGCAGGTCACAGAAGTTGCTCTGTGGACATTTTCTCCACCTGCAGAGCCTTCCCCACTCCCATCCTCGGGTCCAGCTCTGCCCTGGCAGTGTGCTCCTGGGTTGTGCTGAGCGAGGACCTGTAGAACACATCGCCAGGGTGACCCAGCCTGGTGACAAACATCCCCAAACGGGGAGGTGTGGAGCCTGGAGGTGGGCTGGGGCTGCTGAGGAACCGCAGCAGCAGCAATGTGATTATGGAGAGCGGCTTTCCGAGTTAATGGAGTTAGCGAGCCGCCTCCCCGCGCCCGGTACCTGCCGTCTGCGCAGAGCACCGTGCTTTGCTTTTTGTTGTTTTTTCTTGTTCGTTTTTTTAACCTTGCATCGCTGCCCTGGTCTTGTTTCCAGCCTGGCCCCGTGCCAGATTGCATTAGCACGATTGCGGAGATGGCAAACTGCGGAGTGGGGGCAAGGGCGAGGCGCCGGGGGCTGGAGCTGCTCCAGCTGCTTC